AGTAACTATAGAATTAAGAGGGGTACAGTACTATCTGTCTGTGACGTATCCATCCAACTGGTCTGAGTAGTTCAGAGCGACAGATACTCCAACCATCACTGCAGGAGCTCCTGGAAAATGTAGGAAAATGTTAAGCCCCGATCACATGTGTAGTTGATTGTCTATACTCCTTGTCTGTATGCTATGGGTATAATCCTGAAATAAAGAGATTCATTCATTCATACATACATGGAACAATGCACCTGCTAGATATGTTTTTCTGAGACATTATCACAGTCTGTATGTTGCAGATTTAAGAAGAAATGTGTGCAATACCTGGTAGTGTTACAAATACAAAGTAGTTCAAAGACAAAATATTACAAAATTGATACATTAATCACAAATACAAATAACACCTTTAAGGAAATAATGGACTCTTCCGTACCATATCCAAACAGATAGAAGTAGACCATTCTTGATCTCTGTGTCTTGAAGACCTTGATGAGTAAGATGTAGAGCTGGACTCCTTCCAGACACATCCAGGTGAAGGAGGCCAGGAACAGGTAGTGGAGGATGATGGCAATCACTTCACAGGCAACCTGGTGGAAATATCGAAGAAAAAATGAATTCTACACAGGAACCACAATGTAATGTTAACGTATGTTTAAAATTTGTTCTGTTATGAATTTTGTTCATTTAAACAGAGTCGGTGGACAATATAACCTGTCTGGTACGTTTGACCAATTGCTGATGTCACGTATCCGTAAAGTTTTGTCTCAATAAGGTCATGTGTTCGTAACTCTCGCAGATATCCATTTGGAAGTGATTGGTCATCATCCTGATGAAGGTGGTGGTCGGAAATTTGATCCTTATGTACCCTTGTGTTGGAATAAAGTTCGGCATTGTACTATGCTCCCAGATAGTACCTTATCCTCTGTTCTGTCGACTCCCGCCAAAAACAGGGCCTCAGCTAGCAGCAGACAGATGCACAGGTTGGCATGGATAACCGTCCGCTGGCAACGGATTCGTCTGGAAAACGATGGCAGACACATGTTAGAAATTAACTAAGTAGACAGCAGTACCTTGTTTTGTGCTGTGTGTTTAGCTAAACTATGCTTTCTACTGTGTATGGTGGGTATGCCTTTAGAGGTCGTTAAAAAAATTAATTCAAAACATGCTGCATGAAGTGTTAGCATCATGATCAAAATAGTTATTGAGATTATAAAACCAGACCTATATTTTGGGAACACAGTTGAAATGGTTATGTTATAAAGCTTTGGTGCTCGCAGTTTTGTTTCCTCTGCAATGCTTTGACAGGTATGCATGGTGGTGTCACTCTTGTGTATTGGAGACGGTGGCCAACATCATAACAACCAAGAAAACAACAACAAAACGACGTCGGACAGGGTTTCAACAACTGCACCAGTCACAGTTTGGTGACATCCACGAACTACAACTAGAAAACCACTGAAAATCAGCATGCAGTCGACCACTAAGCTAACATTCAAAGTGACTTAAACACATAGCTAGAACAGCAGACAGCTCCTACATCTAATGCTGTGGTCTAATTCTACACAACAAGGGGCGCGGTGTGGACCTAAAAGGGTGGTGAACAACTGGGTTGTTAAAGCAAGGAACAGGAAACACTGAGTACAGATGGCTGCTAGCATCACCTTTCCTTATCTCCCTCCATCTGATAATGCTGACCCCTGGTGTGCAATATCGGCAGAAGACAGATAGATAGTATATTCAAAGAATCAGATATTACTAGAGAGAGTAAGCATGTACTTCTTGTGGCAATGCAGTCCTCTTGCATGTTTAGTAGTTCTTACGGTGAGTGTGTAACTATGTACGACAGCTAGCTACAGTGTGTGTTATAGAAGGAGAAACTAAGTCCCCTAGTACTGCATTGTGCCAACACAGCATTATACACTATTAGGGGACTAGTACATAGTGTCTATATGCTACAGGGTGTAGGGGCACCAGCTTTTATATGCTGTTGGTCAGAGGTAAAATTAGAGAAAAATCTATGGCCCACCTATTGTAAATACTTAAAACTGTATCCTCTACCGCTATCAGTTTCAGAGGTAAAAAAAAATTTTTTGACTCAACCATCGGAGTGCTTATATTGTAAGGACAGGCTTATTATAAAGTTTGTATCCTTCTCTGGTATCATTTGGTGTGATAGCATTGCTTTTAATCATCCCCATCATAGCTTGATCCTAGGAAGATATATTAACAGCAGACTTGTATAGATAGACTTATTCTTTTCTGGCATTCCTAGTAGGTTAATATGGTTCAGCTAATGTTGCTTATTCCCACCATACCTTGATCCTAGGAAGATACAGATGGCGAACACGAGACACACGATGGAGATTATACATCCGACCCATGTGATGACACTCAGGGCAAACCTGTCTGCTTCAGTAAACTGGAAAAAAGAGAATATTTTGTCAGCATTTATACAGTAATTGAGTAATGTAGCCCAACAAAATTGTCACTGTTTAAAGATGTCGCCGCACCTAATAAGAAGAAATTGAAGATTTCACACCTTTATGAAGTATTTTGAATTGTACGGTAGAGAATATTTGGCAAAGCTTTTTTCGTAAAAGACGTACTGAGTGTATTTACATACCCCTTGTCCTGTGACGTCCATGAGAATAGCAAAGTTGGTGAGATGGTCGCACTCACAAATGGTGTGGGTACTGTTGCTTTCCTTTGATTTCGTACAACCCTTGTTCGACCAAAAGCCACTGCAGAGAAAACACATGTATGGCAAGATAAGTAGTCATGTAAGGTTATGTCTGATTAATGGAAGGTAATTTTGTCCACTGAAACTAAACAGAAGAATTTTAAGGTGCTGACCATACATTACAAACAAGAGTAGTGTTGATTGAATAGTACTTACCCGTCAGAATAGTTCCAAAACGAACAAGTTGGATTTCGGACGGACGCATTTTCGGCCTGGAAATGAATGAAAATTACAATTTAAGGAAATGAAATCAAACTTCAAAAACTGTTAATTTTCTGTGACTGTTAGAAATGATTATCAAAGCCAAAGAGTAGTATAGAATAATCATATAGTAATATATACTTAAAAACCAATGACACAAATGTCAACCCCATGAACAAGCCTGAGAAATGCAGTTGTTCTTACATCTGTGTGCTGTAAAACAATCGTCACTTTCTGGTTGTCGCCGAGTTGTCCCGGCGTGCTCCCGTTCCCGAGAGATGCAGAGATGATGCGAGAGTTGACTGTCCTGTTGGCAGCGCTGGGCTTGAGGTACGTGCCGAGAGAGTCACCGTACAGAAGGGCTACGACCTGTTGGTTCGTCGCTGGAAGAGAAACGCTGTCCGTGACGTTGCCCCAGCTGGAAGACAGACCGCTCGGGAATCGTCTGGAATCTCCGGTGGCAGGGAGAACTTCCATGACTGGCAATAAGAAAAAAAAATGTTAACATTTTTTTGATGGTATACCAAAGCTACACATTGTTTAGGTATAGATGGCCAAAGGCTACATGTAGGTGTCACAAGTCATTCAGTGTAATATGACCAGCTTCAGCTGACAGCGTGCCTGCAAAGCTGGTGTGTTACGCTGAGGGGTGGTTATACCGCCTATAAAGATTTCTTTGTGCTTCTCTCTCTCTCTCTCTCTCTCTCTCTCTCTCTCTATCTCTCTATCTCTCTATCTCTCTATCTAGATTTGAGAATCTTTTGAAATGTTTGATAACTACCCATACCTAAATTGTCCTGGATGGAAGAGAAGGCTTCGTCTGGAAGAGACTTGGCTACCAGGAACCCAGACCCTTCAGCACTCCCTATGACTCCTGTTGCCACCTGGGACCAGTCGTCCTGTTGGTACAGCACGGAATAAGGTAAGAGCAAGAGCAGCAACCATAGCAAGACCTTTACATGGGAAAGCGGTCGTACTATTTCTTTGTAAAGGAGTCTGATAGCCATTCAGCACCAAGGACATGTTCAGTTCTTGTATTCTGTTTTAGTTCTGCAGGGTTCTGAACAGTGAAAGTGTGCATGTCAGGAGTTGTGTGTCTGTTGTTATTGTAGGTGGCAATTAAGTCAAATGATGGCATTTCAGGACCAAGAACAGTCTTCTGTGCCGTTTCTTAAATTTTGTTTCTGAGGTCTTTGCAGTTATGTTGTGTAACTATCATGAGCACAAAGCATGATGACATCAAGAAGTACAGCAGCTACTGCAGTATTGTTATTGTTTGGCTACTAGACTTGGAGTAAAGTTGTATTTGTTTAAGACACTTGCCTCTGGAATGTCTTCCCAGGCACTGCCGATGTCACTTCTCAACAGCGTACTTCCACAAAGGGTCATCGTCTTATGGAAGGAAAATAACATGGTGAAAGAAATGGTTGAAACCATCATCGTTGTGGTGATAAGTTGCCTTTTTTGTCAGAAAATTTTACCACAATATGGGCCTCTGAAATGGTAAACTTCCTAATGAAAACTATATGATTGCCATCAACAATCTTTGACGGGGTATCATCATTAGATAGCTTTAAACCATGTTTAGAGTTAGATGTTCAAAGATTATTAAGTGCAACAAGTCGTTTGGTGTAATGTAGCTAGCTGCCGCTGTGTAGTAGCCTACACACATACAGAAGCTGGTGTATTATGCTGAGGGGTTGTTATACCAGCTATACAGATTACAGATACAGAATCCTCTCCCACCTGTGTGAAGTTAGTGACTGTTCCCTTTTTCTCCTCCTGTGTCATGTTGACCAGCTGCTCCTCCTGTCTCTGCACCAGGACGTTCAGCAGGTCAATACTCTTGATGACGTCACCGCCGCGAACCTTCCCCTGGCCCAGGAGGTTTCCCGAGACCAAAGCCAGGATGTCTCCGGCTGGACCTCCGCCGTTCAACTGGTGGGTTGAAAACAAACAAACAATTCAAGTCAGGGTTCGAAATACAAAAAAAATACAAATTATTCCTGCACCAATCAGACATTGAAAAGAATGGATCATACTATAAAACTGTTAAAAAACCATTGACATTATTTATAGGTGGTAATGGTCAATGCAGCAAATGTCAATCAACATACACGTACATGTATGTATAAACCAAGAGCATAGACCAGTGCAGGTTAGGTGCAGGTAAACATCAGAAATACCTGTACAGCTGCAATTTTGCAAATATGCACCCAGTATTTGGAGCCCTGCTGTAGTACAGGCAGATTGTGTAATAGAGGAAAGAATTGTTTACTATTGAGTAACAGACTTACCAGATCGTACAGCTCATTGACCCAAGGCGATGTGCAGTCACTTAAGTTTGGTTCTCCGCTCCATCTGGATCCATCACACAACCATCGAGCCGTACCTAAAATCACATCAAACAGGTGTCAATGGTGTCTGCAGTACAGTTTTATTTAGACATGGGAGTCGTAGAAATTGGGCAGAGAATTTTCCGAGCAGCCATTGTAGCCCCTGCTTCACCTATTGAGTCAGTGAAGTTAAGCTTGCCTAAGTTTCTGACTTAGGGAGAAGAGTTGCTGCAGCAGTGAGCTGAGCATCAGCGACTATGATCAGGCTTACACTATATTGTATAAAAACAAAATGTGCTACTTACCCTCTGTTCCCTCTGGGCATGGCTGGGTGGACTCTCCCCGGGCTGTGGCAGGCCACAGGATGTCCCTCTTCTCAATCGCCGGGCACCCGGACTGAGTAGTCATTGTAGCATCAGCTGGTGCTGTGTTCAGAACAAACAGAGAAGAAAAATAAGTAAGAATTCTGTTTGCTTGAATTGATACTAGTACGTGTTACCTGTTTTCTAAACCACTACATTCCGCACCACTACGTCCAGCCAACTAGAAGAAAAGAATATTTACAAACAAACCCCTAGCCTCTACCAGGCTTCAGAAGGTGGATGGACAGAGTAGAAATCGGCCAAATAGAGAGAAACATGCCAGGGAAGTTGGTCTACTAGTGAGTGAGGCAAACAGTACTCTGTAGCAGACCACCAGTCCCCTGGCATGTTATTCTATTTGGCCGATTTCTACTCTTTCCAGCCGCCTCCTGAAGCCTGGTAGAGGCTAACAAACACCCTAGAATTACCACCTTATCCACAACCCACAACGTGAAAGAGAAAAAAAGGTTACTCTTGAATAGGGAAGAAGGAGACCACAACCGTCACACACACAGAGGAAGAGGGTAAGTAATTCAAAGAAGTCTGCAGGCACAACTCAGAACTAGCTGCAAACATAAAGGATAAGTTGAAAACACAAAGTGCTGAGGAGAAAGAGAAAGTTGCCCTCACGTAGAGAAGTAACGTCCATTTCAGAAGTCGTACTGTTCACCGTAACATCTGGAATTTGCAAAAAAAAGGAAGGAAGAAATCAGACTAACTGCTCAATCACAATCGCCGTATGATTTTGAAGCCAAATTTTGAACTTAAGGCTAAATTTAAGATTTAATGATGAACGATTGTACGGCGAATGTGACCTGGCCTACACTAGACACTACACTACAGGACAACATATTAAAAGTTAAACGTAAAGACTACAGACTATATGGAATGAAACAAGGAATGACTAAATGACAGTGACATTGATGAATGCAGAATGAAGGTAAGCAGTTGACAAGGAAATGGGAAATAATGAAATGTAATAGCTATGATAGTGAATGAGGGGATCTCGGATTTCATGAGAATGAAGGTTCAAAACCAGATTACAGATGATGAAGTAATGGAAAAGTAGATGTGTGGCGGCATTTATGACAACAGAATGCTACACAACAACTACAGTGCATGCGATGAGTATTATGCAGCAAGTCTAATCTTTTCCAGTTAGTCTACACTATTGCACCCATTCTCCAAATGATTTGACAGTTTTCAAAGTCTATCCAGTTGCTTGCTAATGAGTAACTCTTTCTTGTGTGTCTGAAATCCAATTTTTCTACAGTATAATTAATTTTCATGATTCTTAAGAATTATGGTTTGATTTTAACTAGTGTGTTGATAACAATGTGTTAACATATGGCATTATGACCATATCATAGTTCAAAATCAACCAAACCATACTCGATTCGCTTACGTAAGCCTCGCATTAAAATAACCCTAAAGTCTCAAACCTTTGCAATGAATGAAGCATTTTTTAAAGCAGAGTTAAGTTAAATATCATCAAAGCAAAAACACATGATATATGGAATGGCGTTGCTAACTCGTGATTGGGGGTCCACTGGAGGCAGTTACGGTGGTGGAAGGTAAGTCGGTGTGGAATGGTGACGTCAGCGGTCTGGTCGGCACAGGTGCGTAACCCTCGGGAGGACCTACATACATATCATTTAATTAAAACATTGTTAGGACAGACTGTGGCAGCGTGAGGCACTGGTATATCATTATTTCAGCTGAAGCTGTAGCTAGTAGCATCAATGTTGACACCATTTCCTTTGTTTTTGTGACTGGGATAAAATCCATTTGTAATACCTGTTCACCTAAGTAACTATTAATCACCATATACCTGTTAACCATATATTATCATCATATATCCTATACAATTTGTGGTTGTTGTATTTTATGTTGAAATGTTGAGATGTACGCCTGTGCTCTAGGTGAGAACAATGCCTTGTGTTGGATCAGAAGTTTTAACTTTAACAAATGTAGACATTAAATAGTACATACTATTATTAGGTATACCGGTAGTTCCAACAGTCATGATTCAGATGAATCCATGTGTCTTGGTAAGGGGCTGATTTGTAAGAATAGTAGTAAAGTTATCTATCAAAGAGGAATGGGCAATCTATGAAAGCTAGACTCACCAGACACACACTTCATGCGCACCTCCAGGTATTTGAAAGTGCCGGGACACGGGTTACCAAAATTCACGTCCCCTGCAATCATGGTGCACTCAGGCAGCCCGTTACACCTGGCAAGTACAGAAGTTACATCATCAAAGGATTGGACAATACAAATAAGTGCACAAGCAGTTCAACAGGGCTAATTGTGCATCCTCAAGGTCTAGAGCTCACAGCTTATGAAATAAAACTCTAATAAAAAGTAAAATGTACCAAAATCCTCTCAAATTAAGCAAAACTTTAAGTATCAACATGCTTTGCTCCATTTCTACAAATGGAATACTGAATTAGAGCCAACGTTTCTCAAGTTGTTGAGATTAACATCCCTCTTTGAAATATTTTAGAGCTATTATAATACTGTAAATTAAAATGGCTCCGTTCCTGAGGCGTCGGCAAAAATGATACTGTCTTTTCAGCCACAGAAATATCTGCTTGGAGATTAAGTTATTCCTAGCTTGAAGCTCGCTTTTCCCCAGCTTCCCGCTGGGGTTGGCGACTCTCTGAGCATCTGACAAAGAGCTTGTGTACACAGGCTAAAGTTATTCCCACCTGTTGCGAACTTTCCTGAGCGTGTCCTGAGCGGAGCAGTTGAGGCTGAAGTTATCGCTGATCCCCCCGCAGCCCATGCCGGTGCGCCCGTAGCTGGCGTACTCCACATAGATAAACGGCCGGGCCAGACTGCCGCAGGACAGCTTCATCACCTGACCCTCACACGTCATCGTCACTTCTGGCCGCGTGCCTGCCGGAAACAGCCGCCATGACAACCGTCAACTTGACATTGGATCTTAACGTCAATTATTTTAGTATGAAAAAAACAAGCTAGCAAAAAATCAGACGTTTGAGACGATTCTAAGGACAAACGAAGGCAGTGGGCACCGGTTAACTTGAGCTTGGAACTCAACTTCAATTATTTTTCTAAAAGAAGCGCGCAAAAGTTACACGTTCATGAACGACTCTCTATATGCTGCTTGTTAAATTGCAACAACGTAATATGCTAAAATGACAATCGGAGATCTTTAATCCGACTCATGAAAAAGGATGTTAAACTTAGTGACTAGTACTACAATCAATGATTGGGCCACAATTAAGATGTTATATTGCATACAGATGTAAGTACACAAAAGTATCCAACAGCACAATTGCAAACAAACATTGCTGTTAAAGTCTGTTGGTAGTAAACAATGTTGCTTGGAAAGAAAAACGTACACAGACACTAGAGTAGACTGTGAATGTAAGATTTTATTAAGTTACTGTATACAGACACCTAGCAAAAAAACTGCATTTCTTAGTCGGTAAGGCACATGTTCTAACGCAGACACACTTTTTGTAAGCCATAGCGCATACGCGATCTCTAAAAGCATGTAAACGTTTTTCTGAGGTCACGTTAAGTGTTCTATCGTCATGAAATGCAAATCTCCAAGCAGATCCTACGGAGGCAAGACAATATCCATTTGGATAGAGAAGCGTCCACTCGCCACTCTAGATGGCCAGTTCTAAGAACTTCTAACTGTAACGCTTTTGCCGCATGCCGTCTGCTTGGGGATTAAAGAAATGCCACAAAGTCGAGACGAACAACGTCATAGTCGCAGCGACGAAAACTCGCGCTATGTTGCTTCCTTGTTGTAAGCTTTGTCATTAAAGGCAGTTAGTAACTCAAGACCACATTCAGCTGTCCACCGACGGCACACATATTAAGGACGCGCACAAAGAGAGCTTCTACATCTGAAAGCGCTACTTGCGAACACCGATCGCCTCTTTGTCTTCTCACCGTCGCAAGCTTGTCGGGCTGCTCGAATCTGCCGCTGCTCCAAAGCGTAGTTGTAGATCTGGAGACAGGCCATCCTCCCGTGGAACGCCCGCGACTCCAGGTCCCCGTCCCTGTACCCCAGCCTGATTGGTCCGCTGATGTTGAGTTCCGTGTTTCCTATTGGCTCGCTGTCCACGGCGGTTCCCTGGTGCCACAGCCTGGTCTCCCCGGAAGTGACGTCGTACGTGACGCCGACGTAGTTCCACTTGTTCGGCCTGAGAACGCTCGCGGTCAGGACTGTAGGGTCCAGCGCGAAGCTACAGCGATGTAACGGCATTGAGACTTAATATCCTCACCCCTTCAGCTGTTTCAATATTAACTCTTTAAACGGCGTTAAAATCAAAGTCATTCCATTGGTTAGTTTCATATGTTGGCCGATATACAAGCTAAGAGATGCAACAAAACTTGTTTGGCATTGATACAAGAAAGTTACTTTTTTTTCTAAATTTGCAATACCGGTTAAGACATTTAACAAGCACCTTGGGCGATACGCAAAACACCTACTAGCTACATCGCATTCCTACTAGCAGTATCCCATTAATCGGAAAGTTGTTTCTTTTGTTAAGAACAACTGTACTATGACTTTTGCTTAAGAAACAGCAACTCTTCGATGAAATAACACTTCAAGTCAGAATTGGTCAGGGACACTTCGAGCAACTGCATGTGTGATTACTTTTTTTCGGTAAAGAAAGAGCAACTGTACTTCGACGGTGTCTGATATGTTAGGCATCATGAGCAAAGCGACCAACAGCTGTCTGCACCTGTGGCTGTGACGTACCTCCCGAACAGGCTGTTATTGGCCAGCTGCCACAGCGTGCAGCCCTCACTGCTGACGGGGTAGTTCACGATCAGACCGGACTCTCCCATCGGGTACACGTGAGCCAGAACCGTGACGGAGGCGTCATGCACGTCCAGGGCACCGTTGTTGGGGATCTCTACGAACGAACTGGAGTTTCCAACGAAGTAGAACGCGCCCTCGGTGTCGTCCAGGGGTCCTTCTGCGAGCTGGATGCCTGAGGCGTTCCCATGGTTACCGAAGCCGCTGACGTCGTCTGCACCACTGCGCTGGCTCAGCGGCCAGAGCCCTACCAAACCTATATATGGGTGCGATGCATGGAGGAGGTTCATCATGATCTCCAAGCAGATCATACGGTGTCAAGGCAGCATCCAGATAGAGGAGTGTCCATTAGGCACTGGATACTGCATGGCCAATGGATACTGCCTGGCCAATTTGATACTGCCTTTTGCGACCACCGAAGGATCTGCTTGGAGATTACAATGTAGGAGGAGGTCCATCAGCCTTTGGGAGAAGGTGTTACGTGTGTGGTAACAGGGTCACTTGTCTTAGAAGCGCTGTCTTACTGTTGTTTAGCTAACTGCAGCAACTAGTCTGGTGTGTCAAGTCACTGTTCAAGTCAGTGACCCAAAACTGTATCATTACGTCGTCCTCCAACGGTAGAAAATATTAAATCCGAGAGCTAGGATACCGAGGGTGGTTTAGGATACCGCAAGATAGTGTATACTTTTTGCTACGCCTGTTGCATGCTCCTGCCCCAGCCTACAGTATACTGTAATTCATTTACATGTACTTGTAGAAAGCTCTTATACCAATGCAAACTTGTAAGCGGTATAACAAAGCTCGCTGTCGTTGATGCATGTTACAGAACGCATGAACCGAGCAGCTGATTTTAATTGGCCCCAAAAGGACCCCCATTAATCCTATAGAGGTACTATTGTTTTGTATTTCCAAGATAATTGCTGCTTTTTCGGCATAGACTAAATGTGTCTTTTAACGACCAGTTTGGGATAAAAGTGACCACTTGCCCATGAAAAAGCTCAGAGAGGGTTTCTCTCCGCCTAATCCAAGTTAGCGGTTTTCTTTGATGCCTTTAAATTTACGGCTTGAGAGATGGACTGTCTGGTTTCTGTGAGAGCGTCGCGCAACAGTCTCTGTATAGGCCAATGCACCTGTTCCTTAACTTTCAAGTCTAGACATAAAACAAGGTACGGTATTTAACAAAGAACTACATTGTTACATTGTAGCATCTTAGGCGGAAGGATATCTCAAGAAACACGGTCAAGTACAAGAAGAAACGATGAAATTCTGACCTTGCTCTGGTAGCACCTCGCACAATTCCCCTGAGTAACCTGGTTGGCATTTACACTGAAAATCAGGATCTGGCAAAATAAAATGAACGAATTAGCATATGTGCAACTAACCATGCATAGATGAATATATTCTACTACATCTTCTCGTCGAACAAGAGTTTTAGAAGTCATAATGACATACGTCGATCTAGTCTCCTCATTGATTCTCTTTATTTCGAACTGTGTACGTATTTTACAGGCATCAAATATACTTCACCTTTTTCTGTCCATTCCGGTTCCACCGCCCAAGTGTCCTGAGTTCCTGCAAAAGATATAGGATATCATGGTTAAGGAACCAAACTAAACGTTTTTTATTAAAATTCTTGAGCACGTTATCTCTCTATTTGGCCAATGTCTACACTTTCTAGCCGCCTCCCGACGCCTAGCCTCACCTATCTCACAGATGAAGAAGTTCTTATGTTCGCATCTGGCGTCGTTCCAGAGGAACTGGTGCTGCTTCCTCAGCTCGATGCAGTTCTCGTTCCTCCTGCCGTTCGGCTCTCCTGCCTTCCAGCCGCCCGTCTCCCAGCCGGCTGTCGTCACGTTCCTGCCCGTGACGCCCCACGTGAACACGCCCTCGCTGGCCGCGTCCGTGCCGCTCGTCCAGAAGGAATCTGTGGAGAGGAAGGAATTGTCGAACGTATTGATTAAAATGTGTAGCACGGAGGATTTAGTGGCCACGGTAAGCAGATTTTATGCCAAATTACAGCCATGATGAAAAAAATTATTGAAGAAAGAAGATCACTGAATACCGAAAATCAAAGCACAATTTGCTCATAATTATTTTCTTGTAGTATCGTATCACACTTTCTTCTTTAAACATGCAAAGAATGCAGAATCAAAAAACATATTTCATACTTCAATTGGGACAGTCATGTACTTATAAGGTCAGAGGACAGAATGGTCTTTTTAAATATGCATAGCTGTATCCACACCAAAGTACAATAAGTTACAACACCTCATGCTGCACCTTTCACCCCAGTCATAAACAATGCAAAACATAGCGGACGAAGCACATGAAGCAGATGGAATGGGAGACAGAGGGTGGTTCAAAAGGAAACAGGTGGCAATCCCGGCAGTTCTCGCGAGAGAGCTTGAGGCTTGAAAGCGACGATGATGAAGTATTGCCGCATGATAACACCAAGCCATATGTCCTTCTTAAACTATTTACTGAGCCCTTTTCCCATCCGGATTCTCGTAACTGCTTCCTACTCATCAGGAATCCGGATATCTTTGAGCGGTTCTAAACGTTAACTAGCAACACCGCGAAGCCATTACCGTTATTCATTGCTGCATCTGTGCTAAGTGGAATAGCGGTTGTCGTTTGACTCTGTGACCTTCCGTCGACGCTGCGCTTCCCTCTTCCGTTATTGTTATTTTCATCATTACGACCGTTGTTTCCTCTGTCGTTGTTGTTGTTAGCGTTTTGCTGGTTATTGTTGCCGCGACCTCCGTTGTTGCCATTACCTCCGTTGTTGCCATTACCTCCGTTGTTGCCGTTATTACCTCCGTTGTTGCCGTTATTACCTCCGTTGTTGCCGTTATTACCTCCGT